GTACTCGGAGAAAACCTGCCCCAGCGTCACTTTGTCCACCACAAATCCCACTTAACCAGACCCGGGCTCGAACCCGGGTCGTCGTGGTGGGAAGCCAGTGACTAACCGCTTGAGCTATGACACGGCAGTTCTGTATGATTTAATAGAAAGAAATTAATTACGAATAAGCTGAATGTCATTTATCCCACTATTGCTCACACCTACAACTTATTCACAGTCATTTGCGTCTTGACGTCATGACTGAGGAAAGTTATAAAGCTAACGTAAATGTCGCCGAAGTGTGGAGATATAAATTATAGTACATAATTTCGTTCTTCTTCAAGCTAAGTTAATAAATGTAGCAAGTATATTTCCGTTAATTTATTAATAATAATTTATCTTCCCGCACGACAAGCACAAACACAAATTTAAGCGACTTACATCCATTTTTTTTCTAATCACATATTATTTAGATCATCAGCTAAAATGGTAGTTACAATTTATTCGAAATCATTTTCTCAGACTCCAATATACCTAAGAATCGTATTTATAAAATTATTTTAATTTATGTACCATTTATAAAAATTGTATATCGAAAGATTTTCTCATACAGGGCAATGTTAGGGCGGAAAATGTAACTGAATTAAAAGTTCTGTGTTGCTATTTCAAAAAGTATAAAACGAAATCAGGGTAACATAACGAAGAGATATTAATTATTGCAGCAATATGCAAATTTGCTTAGTGTCCCTTGAGATAATATATTTTCCAACCTCTAACGTTTATGCTTATTTGACTTCAAACATAATTTCCATGAAACATCACTTCCAGAAATATTTATATCAGAAATTTTATGTAGATTATTTTATTCAATCCAAGATATCATCCAATCAATATTTCGTAAGCGTTCCTTGTCTCCACGTCTTATCCACATATTCATTTCATCATAGCCTTATTAATTTCACCATGTTAAGAATATCTTGTGACCTATAAATTTCAAATTCCTTACATGTAAAAAGTAAAGCTATATTTGTAACGGGCTGTGGAGGCCCATAGCGTAGTGAAACGTCGAGGTTACCACATTTTCTAGAAAGTCGGCTCACAGATGGCGGTGAGGTTGTCAGCTTTACGTGCAGGCTGCCCTTTACCCCCAGGAGGAATGCTAGTATTCATTTCTCTTAGAGACTGAGTCGACCCCAGGGACAAAGTCTGGCTGGAAGGATTAGGTCAACTGAAAAATTCAGCAACTTCATCGGGAATTGAAACCGTGACCGTCCGGCTTGTAGCATAGAATCTCCACATATATCTATACTATATATTAAACTTTCTGTTACGTCATTCCCTTACGCCCAGAGGTCTTCTTCTTTCATACGCCCATAAGTCGAGGGCTCTTGTGAACACGGTAATGAACCTCCGGGTTCCATAAAATGCTAGGAAATTCTTGAGTAGCTGCAGAATTGGCGGCTCCTCAAGAAGGGCTCAGCTCCATTATCAAGTAAGTAAGTAAGTAAGTAAGTAACCCTCCTCTCGGCCAGGTACCGCGGGGTTTTTCCGGGGATAAAATGGCAGGGGCGTGAAACTGACCACTCACCTCCAGCTAGTGCCAAGGTCAAGAAAGTTGGAGCTATACCTCCACTGCCCCATACGTCTTCATGTCATAGTGCTCAATTAATAAACATAAGGACAACTTTACCTATTTTGCCTTACGTATATAATATGACGTATATTCTGGAAGTCCTAAACGTCAATATACTTCTACAAGACTACACGGAGTCTCACCCCAGAAGACTGTACGTTTTGCGGGCACAGTCGTGGGAAACTCAACCATCACATTCAATTTTCGTACTTCCCCCAAATTAAGATACACGTATATAGCTACAATATGATACATAAAGATAATAACTGTGAAGATTTCTGTCTTCTGGTATACTAGTATAACGCCATGCAGTCCTTTGAAAGTCAACGGACGTTTCAAAAGTATATGTCGCCTTAGGGCCATAGAATAAGCAAAGCCAGAAATCAGCGTGAAGAAAGCAGCTACCCGGTTTCTTTCTTGGCTTATTCTTCTACGAGTACTCCGAAGATGGAGGCGATATGTTCCTCCGAAAAGTAGGTTGACTTCCAACGGACTACACTACTTTATATTGTAGAAGACAAAGATCTTTATAACCGGCGGTGTGAGAACTTCAAATCCTGCAAAAAATTTGATTATGTGTAGCCTTATCTTCAATATTTTGAAAAGTCGACATGATGATAATTATTTTCGAAATGAATATATGCAAGAATCTGCGTTAACAGTTTGTTCCATACTTCCATCATGAACTTGTTCTCTGTATTATTCTTCTCCTTCTTCCATTCATATGTTCCTATCCAGATCTGATGTGGAACTATAGATCTATAGGCCTCCTTAGACGGGAGATCAGCCTGTCGCAAGGCCGCTACATATAGGACAACACAAACTCAGAAGAAACGCGGACAGACATGCACACGTTGAGTTGCAGTCGAACCCAAGATCCCAGTGTTTGATGGAGCAAAGACGTTTCTTGACTTAGACCGCGAGACCACTGTGACCGGCCTTCCCTATCTGTTCTTTTATTGCTAGTGGGGTGGGACTAAGTCCCTTGTACTGCGGCCACTTCTGGCCTATTGTACCAGCCCAAGATGATAGGTGAGGGTGATTGTGGAGCACTTGGTGGAATGAAGATTGGCAGGGGAAACCGGGGTACTCGGAGAAAACCTGCCCCAGCACCACTTTGTCCACCACAAATCCCACTTGACCAGGCCTGGGATCGAACCCGGGCCGCCGCGATGGGAAACCAGCGACTAACCGCTTGAGCTATGGCGTGGCCCTTCTCTATCTGTTAGTGTTATTCTCAGGTACCTAAATGGTCAAGAAGCGCCATAAGGTTCTAGTCGTTACACTGTGAGCCGATTAGAGTGGCCGTGAAGTCTAAGGGCGGTCGCACACCAACTGCGTCAAGGCAAGCATTAAGACATGAGACAAAAGACGCAGTCTTGCTTTATTCGTGATTCGTCAGCATGAAGCTAACGTCAGCATCATGACTCAGACCCGTGTGCGGCGTTTTCATAATCTCATTCGTTTCAAATGTGCTCCTTTCTTTGAGTCATGTCGCAGACATCATCTCTTGACTGTTACATGTCTTGACGCATACCAATGTGCGGCCTTCCTAAGGCATGAAATGTCTTCGCCTGCTCAAACACTGGGATCGTTGGTTAAAATCCCACTTGAAATGTGGATGTCTATGTTCATTGCGTGTTGGTGTTTTCCTGTGTAGGTAGCGGTCTTACGATGGGCTGATCCCTGTTCAAAAGAAGCCTACCAACTATGTATTCATTCATCGGTAACTTGTGAGACGGCAGGTCCACAGGCTCTTCCAAAACAGTTCCTCCACTTAATGCGATCTAGAGCTTTCTCCTTCAAATAAAAATATCCTCTTCTGTTCCCCAGGTCATGCAGCATCTTCTTACGTCTTCTTCCTCGTCTTCTGGTCACTTCTATCAGCCCCTCTCTTACATACATGGTATCTCTGTTTCTGGAAACTATGTATTACATTCAGAAAATGAAAGAAGGGGCCAAGACACAAACTTGGCTGCAGAACCCGGTTTTAAACAAGAATTTGAACAGTAATTTTAATTTTACATCCTTTAATTTATTTTGTTATGTGCTCAATATTATTTACATCAAGTTTTAACTATTTTGAACATGAAAGTGTATTATTAGGATAGTGTAACAATATAGATAGAATATGAATTCATATTGAATAAATGACACAACTCAGAAATCTGAAACCACGTATTCATAAACATCTCAGGATGACCCAGGTAAGGATCGAAACATGTAACGAAAATTTCAACAGCAAAATAAATCAGATGTTGACAATATAGTGTCTATCTTGTTTATTTTCTGAACTTATTGTTGTGTAGACTGCCTCAAATCATCAGATTCGTGTTGTGATTTTTTCTGCATTGCGGGGATAAGCTGAAATGACGAAGAATTAACATAAGAAAACAATTTCAGAAGTTCTCTTTCTACTTGTGTTCATTTCTAAGTCGTCGGCTTAACTTCACACAAACTTATGTTTAAAATAACATTGTTTTCATTCATAATTATATTTTACATGTTCCCGTGGCAGCTTTTCTCCACTAGGTGGTAGGTACAAACTAATTAAAAATATGTGTTGTAAGTCCATATCGTGTTACAAGACAAACACCTACAAAACTGTGAAGGAAACATTGATTTATATTAAAAAATAAACTCCGTGGCCTGTAGTCCGCAAGCAACTATATATACCGACCGAGCGACCGTCGCTTGTCGGCGAAGTTAGTGCCAGATTTTCCGGGTACTGAGTGTCACGTGGTCAGCGCAACGAATCCCCACGGCCGTTAATCTCGGTTTTCTAAACCGGAGCCGCTATTTACTAGAAATAGCTCCTCAATTATCCTCACGAGGCTGAGTGGACCCCGTTCCAAACTCACTACTTCTCAGAAAATCTGGTAGCGCCGGGAATCGAACCCCAGGCCTCTGGATCTGTAGCCAGGAACTCTGATCACTGATTTATATTAGATATAATTTAATCTTACACGGAGGTAATATATAATTGACAATACCTGTCCAAATAAAATTAATCCTGTTGAGATCTCTAAGTTATTTATTATTTGTGAAGTTTTATGTTTTTATATTTTAAAAAGTTTTCACTTACAATGCAGTTATGTTTAACGGAATTTTATAACCTGATGATGACTGTTCACAGTCGAAATATGTATAATTAGAAAAAAAGAACAGGATAATTTTAACGTAAGTTTGTGTGACGATTAATCTTACTCCTTTTAAACATATATATATATATATATATATATAATTTTTAGTTTCCTTTTCCCACTAGTCAAATGCGGCACCATATAGATACACGCGAGGCCGCTAGATGGCAGTAGTGTCACTCAGAAGCCAGATGTCGCGCCTGCTCCAGTCCTCCCTAGCAGCTGCAGGTCAGTCAGTGCAAGGGATGAAGACGCGGTAACGAGATGGTGTGTGCTGGGGATGCGTTGAGGGCCTGGGTGCTGTCGGCGCTTGTAGTGCACGGGGCAGTTGCGGGTAACCCCGACGCCAAGCGTCTGTACGACGACCTGCTCAGCAATTACAACAAGCTGGTACGTCCCGTTGTCAACACGTCCGATGTCCTGAGGGTTTGCATTAAGTTGAAGCTGTCCCAACTCATTGATGTGGTAAGATATCAGACATTTTAAAGCAGAACTGCATATAGGTGTTTTGTTACGTGGAGTAGTAAGGTTAACCATAAACTAGCTTCGTAATTAATAAGGTAACATGACCTCTGTACGTACTGTAACACTGATCTGTAACTTGCCGTACACGAACACACACGGTTGTAATGAATATTTTCATTTTCAAACAAAATATGATATTATGCCCAAAAAATATCTCTGCTGTTTTGTTTTTAAATTTTCTACGTGTTTTTATGAAACTACCTGGCATTTCAGCATCGCATGCGATACGAATTAATATTTTGAAATAAAGATGAACAGTCAAATGTACCCTTCTATGTTATATCTGAAATTAGCTTGTGGTTTTTATTTTGTGATTGAAATTCGTAGCTATCTTCGAGTGATTGTCATTAAGTATCCTTTATCTTCTATCGTGGACTTAATTTTTCTTCCAACATATCCACGACAACATATCTGACAAAATGGTAGTCACAGTGCACCGTCAGTAGTCAACGTATGACGTAATTGTCTTTGAATTTATGGGCTGCCGGGTCATGATATCGTCTAGCCTTGTGGTATATTAACAGTGTTGCTTTAGTTTCCCTGAAGATAAGGGCGGTATATTCCTCTGAAAATTTGTTATCAGATATGAGAGTACATGGCGTAATAACCCATAGTACACAAGCTTAACTTTCACTTACGTGAAGAGCGCAGATCTTATTTAGCCATATTTAATTGTGCAGAAACCTAGGAGTTTATATAACATAGTAGTCCGGTTTTTAGTTTCAGTCTTTCGTGGACCTATTGAGTATAAGACAAATGAAAATCCATATGGAACAAACCGATATAAGTTCAGTTCACCAGTTTTCATCAATCACGTTGAAAGAACACCTAGAATATACGTTATTGCCTCTGTCGATACAGGAACGTATTACGACTATTTTTCTTATGTTCTTTTGCGCGTATTTCGTGCTCAGTCTTTCAATAAAATGGCAGAATATTGATAAAGAATTGTTTCCTGTGAATTTCTTCCCACTTACATTGATTTGCGAATCTTCCAACTTGTATCAGTCTACTCCACTTGCACACCTCAGCAGGAATTGCTTTTGATTCTGTTGCTATTGTTATCGTCTTTAATATTATCATCCAAATTATCATTAAAGTTTTCTCGACATATCCAAGTCATCAGTAATCTTCCCTGATTCTATATCATCGTTAAGCATAATGTCAATTTCACTCACTGATGGAGTTGAGCCCCTCTTGAGAAGCTGCCATTTGTGCAGCTAATCAAGACCTTCCCAGCATTTTATGGAACCAGAAGGTTCATTACCGTGTTCACAATACCCATCCAGCGGTCTCTATCCTGAGCAAGATCAATCCAATCCATACCATCTCATCTCTCTAAGATCCATTTTAATATTGTCCAACCACCTACGTCTTGGTCTTCCCAGTGGTCTCTTTTCTTCTGGCTTTCCTACCAATATCTTATAGGCATTCCTCTTCTCCCCCATTCGTGCTACATGCCCTGCCATAACGTCAATTTATCAATTCATTTTGTTCCTAACAATCAGGCAATAAGGAATCATAACGGAGCAATAATACGAGTGTATACTGCTTGAATCATTTTGAGGCAATATCGAATTGAAGTTGAATATTACAATTTTGTCACGAATGATATGTCACCTCAAAATTTTTACTTTGTGCATTATTTTACGGCTCTTTCAGTAAGTAGAACATACAATACCCAATATTGTAATAATGGAAGAATAATTAATTAGAAAGGATTTGGAAGGAGACGGCCTTCACCTAACAGAGGCTAAACATTTGTTGATCTTTGTAATCAGCATAAGATTTTAGACTGAATTTATTGTTCATTTTCGAGGGGTATGTGCTTCGGAAGTCCATAACAAATAGAGGCTTGTGATATAACTCTGTCTAGGCAGTTTAAAGTCGACCGAAGTTTCGGAAGAAGATATAGCTTCCATTTTAAGGGCCCAAAAATAAGACGAGCAAGAAAAGAGCATGAAAGCACGTGGAAAGTAAAACCATTTTCCACCTGCTTTCCCGCTGTTTTCTTGTTCGGTTTATTCATCTTCCCTGAAAATGGAGGCGATATTTTCCTCCGAAACGTCTGTTGACTCTGAATGGAATATACGGTTTTATATCCGAGAAGGTAGTACTGTTCATAAGCACATTTGTTAGAAATTCAATCCTAAAAATTAGCCCCTATTGAAAATTTATTATTTTAAGCAAGAATTATATGATTACAGCGTTCTAAAAACTGTGTTGAAGATATGGATTATCCCTCAAAATTTAATGATTAAATAATTATGTAAGTACTCCAGTGGTATGTAGTCTAGTGTTATCATTGTGTTAAATTGGAAAAAAATAATGCCCTACACTATACTCCAAAATATAAGAAGTGTATTTATAATCTTCAGAACTACTCCTTATAGCCTTAACAACTGATTCAATTAAGGGGCCCTTAGAGGCCGCGCCATAGCTCAAGCGGTTAGTCGCTGGCTTCCCACCGCGGCGGCCCGTGTTCGATCCCGGGTCTGGTCAAGTGGGATTTGTGGTGGACAAAGTGGCGCTGGGGGGGGTTTTCTCCGAGCACTTCGGTTTCCCCTGCCAATCTTCATTCCACTAAATTCTCCATCATAATCACCCGGGGCAGGTACAATAGGCCAATCAGTGGTCGCCCTGCCGAGTGGACCCAGTTGGACTCCACCCCACTAAGCGAAATAGAAAAAAAGGGGGCCCTTAATGAACGAATTGTTTTGACGTGTTATTAATTTTTAAATATTAAGTCACTTGTAAATAATTTTACGTAATTGTAGAATTTTGTAACTGTTTATAAAAAAAAAACAAATTAAACCGACCTGTCCCTCTTAACATAGATACTTTTTCTTCAAATAAATACATTGTATGATATGTGAGCATTGTTACTGATGGTTCAGAAACTCCATTGCGAAGGCTGAGATGAATTCTAGTGGAAGCTCATGGAAACTACGTAGTTTTGCAGATAAAATTCAGGAGTAACAAATTTACACGAATTTGACCGTTAAAATCAGGGTATATATCTACTGTTGTTAATATTAGATGGATCGCCTCTGTGGTCTAGTGGTCAGAGTTCTTGGCTACAGATCTAGAGGTCCCGGGTTCGATTCCCGGCGCTACTAAATTTTCTGAGAAGTAGAGGGTTTGGAACGGGATCCACTCAGCCTCATGAGGACAACTGATGAGCTATTTCAAGGAAATAGCGGCTCACGTCTAGAAAACCGAGATTAACGGCCGTGGGGATCCGTTGCGTTGACCACGCGACACCCTCTACCGCTAAAGTTGACACTAACTTCGCCGACAAGCGGCGGTCGCTCTGTCGGTCGGTATAGTTCGATTACGGACTACAGGCAACGGAGTTTTTTTTGTTAATGTTAGCTATATTTAAGTGGAGTCAGTTTATACGCCAGTAAGAAATTAAATTTGTCAAGCGTGAATGGTCGTGTGGATCGAAACTACTCTGATGTCTCTTAGTGTTTGTAGCTGTAAACCTGTTGCAGGATATTATTTTTATTGACTCGGCCATAAAAATAAATTATTATTATTATTGGTAGTAGTAGTAGCAGCAGCAGTAGTGGTGGTGGTGGTGGTGGTGGTAGTAGTAGTAATAGTAGTAGTTTGGTGGTTGTGGTGGTGTATTTTGTTTTTAGGAGAACTTATTAAGCCTAATTAAATACATATTTGTACATGTTGAATTGGCCGAACGTAACTCCCAATATCCTCGCGGTAGCCATATGTGTAACTGTATTGTAGCGGGTGGAGCCGTTGTTGTGCACGACCTCGAGATAGGTGGATATACCAGAGCCGTTTCCGGGCAACGGATCGCTAAACATGTTTCCACAGCAACAGACACGTACGTAACAGTAGAAGAACTGTTTTATCTGTGTGTTTTATACAAAGATGTTATAAACAATGGACAAAGTTGGAGCTTAGTCGTTTGTATAACAAAATTATGCAGGCAACAAGTGGAAGTCATACAAAATCATGATATATTCCCAATATTGGACAAAGAGAAGCCCAATATAGGAAATATAAGAGGTTTAAACTTAGCGGCGGTCAAGCATACGACCGTTCAAGTGACTAGACTGCCGTTGTAGCGGAAGCTACTAGAAATAGAGTATAATCTGCTGTACCGAGCCTCGACTGACAGAAGCCCTGTATATATTTTATATACATTTATTAACGTGTTTAACATGCAAAATGTAAGTATCCTTTACATTATGACAAATGACTTACTACTGCAGACAATGGCTCTGACAAAAGACAGATACGTCCTTTCGTCAGAGAGGGAGCCCCACAATAAGAAGACCAAAACTGTCACACAGTAATAAATATCTGGTCTCAGCCCCAAATGGTGCTCCACACCAATATTTGCTGACTGAATGACCGTCAGTCGAAATGTGACTTTAACTGTGACTTGAGCTTAGTCAGTGCAACAGATCATGATATAGGTCAGTGAAACTGTGTCACAGAAAACAAAATAATGGTCATTACAAAATTAGCCGTTACCAGGTAAGGTCTAGTAACAGACAGAACATTAAGGCGTGTCCACATTACTCGTGCTCATGCTCGTGCTCGTGTGACTCGCTATGCTCGCGAGTAATGTGGACGATATGACAAGTCACGAGACAAGCAAATTTTTAATTTAAGAACTATTGCCAATAAATTAAAATACGACTACAGCCTATACACACTACGAGTAAATATACGGATCCTCACGCGCCGAAGCCTGGCGAGCAACTGAAGTAGTGTGGACGAAGATTTAAGAGCCAGACGAGTCTCCCGGCGAGCACAAGCCTGGCGAACACAAGCACGAGTAATGTGGACGAGCCTTTAGACTGTGTGTGTTCTAGTGAACTGCGAAGTATGGAAATAGCGATAGTGTTATAGTTATGACCTGTAAGTGATCAATAAACCCATTTACCAATCCAGACCCGTCTATA